ATACTTCGTACATTCCATGTTCCGATTTTCAGTGGATGTTTACAGCTGTTTCTTTTCATTTTGAGTTGTGCCCCATCAGCAAATGAAGGTCCCGCAGTCTTTTCTCCCACAGGCTTTACTCCATTCGCGTCATCACAGTCAACTCTACTTTGAGGAGGCAGCTCTTTCCCAGTCACATTTTAAGTGCCTTCCAACCTAAGGGAATCATTTTCCAGCACTATATCTGACAGTGTTTCTCTGCTATTCATAAAGTTTTCAGTTACTATTTATTCAGAAGTAGTTCGGCACTCTTTCTTCCCAGTTTGTCTTCGTCTGGAAGTTCATCTGAAACCTGTCCACTATGGGCAACCCTGCTGGTATTTAAAATACCGGTGGCACAGCTTTCAGAATGACAGCAACTCACAAGCCACCACAGTATGACAAACTTACAGATGAGTGGGGGAATGTGGTGGTGGGATTGGGAAATCTTTATTCTGTCTGTACAATTTTTCTGTAACTATAAAACTGCTCTAAAAATTAAAGTATATTAAAAGCAAACAAATAAATAAATGTGGTATCATAGAAATTTTTCCACAGTTGGTTGATATTTTCTGTTTTCAACAGAATGTTTTCTTTTTATTAATATGCTTTCAAGTAAGAATATCTAATTTTTTCCTTTGTACTTGGAAGAAAATCTCACTTTTTTTTTCTCTTACTTACTCAGGTGGGCAGGGCTCAGTGTTGCAGGCTCTTTGATTTTCGGGTGGTTTGCTGTCAGGGTCACAATAATTGTTCTGGACAATGGAGTTGTCATCCAATCTTTTACAGACCACCTCCTGTCTTTGGGCACCTTGAGAAAAGGAGGGTATCATTAATTGAAGAGTCGTTTAATTTCAATAAGTTAGGTGTGCATAGCCTTCCTCTGTGGGGGATCAACCTCACTGGATCGTTGCTGTCTTACCTGTTCCAGAAACACTTGACTGCTTTTCTAAAAAGGGAGAAAAGACCTGGATATTATGCTGTAACTTTAGGTAAAATTATTGGTCTCATATTTAGAAACATTTTTTCAAATCTAGAAAAGAAACTAATGGTAATTTAAAATGATTAGCATTCCCATTTGTATATTCTTCTTCTTGTTTTCCTTTAAAAAAAAAAAAAATCAACTTCAATAAACCAAAATAGCACATAAAATGTTCAAAGATGCTTCATTGTAAAATAATGTTTGTATGTTTATTTAAAAATAAAGCAGTAGGGACAAATTTACTTTTTGGTATTTTTAAGGACAAACCCCATCAATTTAGTCTTTGTTAAGAACATCTCACATGTACACATTTTACTTATGCTTTCATGTATAACATTTATTTCTCTAGAAGCTCACAAAGTCCAGAGATTAAACACTGCACTGGGCCTCTTTTGAACATAACCCATTAGTCTGCTTGCTTTGTAGAAATAGCCCTGTGTTGATTACACCATTGTCAAAGAGACACGTACATTGACTATAACTTAAAAAATGCTTATCTCATCCTTCAAAATTGGTTAATGTGACGTGTTTACCACAGCTGAAAACATTCTGATAAAATTTGTAAAATTCTAAATAGATGTTTATTATTTATTGGCAAAGATATCCACGGCAATACTCACAATCCACAAAATACAGAGGCACACACAAACACACACTCTTATTTAAAAACATCCTGTTGAATCCTTCATACAGACTTGATTTCTCTTTATTGTCAAGGATCCAAAAGAGGCAGAGATTGCATCAAAGAGAAACAAGTCAAACTATAAGACAAAAGACAAAAGTTTCAGATCATAGCAAGGTAGCAGGAAATAAAAATTCAACCTAAGCTATCTACCCAACACATCCATCCCATCCCTAGAATACATAGAAAGTTGTGAAGTCTCATTAACTGTATCCAGGAAACCACAGCTTCACACCTGGCCCCACAGTATCTATCAGTTATTATTAAATAATAGTCTCCTAAAGAAAAGAGTCTGATCACAAATTAGGGAAATCAGTGTGATACAGAATAATTCAGTGAAGGAAATAATCATCTAAAGAGTGAGACACAAAATGTGTTCCCTTAAGAGTCATCAAAATTTTGTAGGTCAAAGTGTCTTGGTTATCACGTTATATATACCTTCAATTAAGCCCCTTGAAGTGAAAGAGCTGACAGGGAAAAAGAAGTCTGCCAAGCTCATGAGACTTCAATCTGACATTTCCATGATGGTTGTGAGACATGAAAAAGGTATTTTGTATTGTTTGCAGTGACTCAAGGTTCTTACTGATCGTATTCAATAATAACAAACATTTTTAGGTTTTCCTAAATGTAGGCATCTAAAACATAGACAAAACACTTACAAGCATAATGTTTGAGTTGTTTTATTGTGTTTGTTCCCTCACAATGCTTAGAGTAGGCCAACCATCTCAGCTTATATGACAACAGTTTGGAATTTTTTAACTATTAAACTTTAGATTTTTGAGGGAAGAATGATTCACATCAGGCATAGTTGTGATCCATTCACAGATGTTCCATAATATTCATCAGATATCTCCCTATTGTGTCATTCCAGTGGGAAGATAACTAAGTCCATGTGGTCCACCTAGACAGATAATCTCGCCATTAGTCATAGGATTTAACTACCACTGCCACAGTGGTTCTAAATATTCACCCACCCTGGTTCAATGTATTTTTTTTTTCTATCAAGGAGAGCAAGGAATTGTTTTTATAGGTTAGCATGTGGTTTGGATTTAAGTATTTTTTTTAAGTCACTCAAATATGATTATATTTGCAAAAAGAAAGTTGTCATTCAATATAGTATCATGGCTATTTTCAAAAAATGATCATTTTTAACCTACAAAGTGAAACAATGCTGCTTTGGCTCAAAAGCAGAAACATTAATTATTTTCTAATACAAAAAAAAAAAAATTAAGTTCTTGAATAGACAGCTGAAATTATGTGAAAGTCCTACCTCCTTTAATTAGCTCAAGATATATTGTTTAGCAATAATTACCTTAATTTTTTAAAGTAGCTTTTGATGTAAAAGAAGACCTTTTGAAATTTGAACAACAGATGAAATATAAGCTATTAGAACTGAGAATTATGCTTTATTTTCAGATAAATTCTAGCCATGTATATATCTTGAAAAAATTTTGTTATGTAACATTTATTGTTGAAAATTTAGGAAATACACAAAACTAGAAAGAATAAAACAACAATTAGTCATAACCCCATTTTGTCCTTGATATTTTTAGGACTATGATACTTAAGGTTTTATGTCAACTTTACTGGGCCAGGATTCTCAGTGGTTTTCAGTTGAGATGCAGCTATCCCCCATGATGTGATAAACCAATAGAGGATTAAGGTTCAGCAGTTCAAGACCACCAGCCACTCCTCAGGAGAATGATGACGATTTCTGTTCCCACGATTTAAAGCCTTGAAATCCTATACAGGGTTGCTATGCGTCAGAATCAACTCAACGGCATTTAACAACAACACCTTAATCACACCACCACCCTGATTCAATTTATGGGAGAACCCCAAGGGTGTGGCATGCCACACCTTGTATATTACATGGTATAAAAGGAGACAGACTTGAGAAGAGAAAGAGGGACCTACTACCACCAAGATAGAAGAGCTGAGAATACAGTGCGTTCTTTGGACCAGGAGTCCTTGCATTGTGAAGCTAATAGATCCAGGAGAAGATTAATGCCAAGATGTATGGAGATTCCCAAGGAATACTGGGCCTACGGCTTCTGAAAGGAGACAAGAACCTTTCCCCAGCACTGACAAAAATAAAGCCTCCCCAAGAGTTGGCACTCTGAAGTTGGACTTCCAGCCTCCTAAACTGTGAGAGAATAAATTTTGGTTGTTAAATTTACCCACTTGTGGTATTTCTGTTATAGCAGCACTAGAGAACTAACACAAAGGCAAATTTGCCATTTGCTGGGATTTTAAATTAGTTTTTAAAATGACACACAATTATATATCCACAAAGTAAAATTGCAAGTTAAATGTGGCTGACAGGTCATTCATTTATTCACTCATTCATTCAACAGAGAAAAGTTACTTAATAAAAGGCATTGTGCTTCTTATAAAGGGTTATTGGTGGCACTATAGGCTAAGCACTGGATTGCTAACCAAAAGGTGAACAGTTCAAACCCACCAGCCACTCTTTGAGAAAAAGGTGAGACTTTCTACTCCTCTAAAGGCTGCTAAACACAAGACTGGCAAAGACATTAGCCACTCACTCCATGAGAGAAGGATGAGGTTGTCTGTTCCCATAAAGATTCACAACCTTGGAAACTCTAAGGCGTCATTGTGCCCTTTTCTAAATAGGGCAGCCATGAGTCAGAATTGATTCAAGGTTAATGGATTTAGTTTTGGTACTTTTTATAAGATATTGGGTTAAGTTCTAAGAATTAGAAATTGATAAAATTTTGGTCACATCTTCTAGACTTCTTAAAACTTGGTACTGAATGTAATTATGGATTCATTTCAGCTTCATAATTACAAAATATATTTATTTATGAAGTAAAAATTAAAATTCCTGACTAGATAACTGAGATTACTTTATAATTTGTGAAGATGCATTTTCCTTGCATTCATCTTTTATTCATTTTCTTCTAAAATGTTCTATTTCAAATTTAAGAACTGACTTTACCAAAAATCGACTTCAAATCTTCCTACAATGTTGCCCTATCTTCCTCCAACAGCATACAGATCTCCTTCCAACTTTTACTACCACCGCTACCACACCAACTTGGCAGTTTTATCAATTAAAAAAATTTTTTTTTCTTTTCAAATCAGTAGCAGTAGGATAACTCTCTTGAAAAAGATACTCAATTGGATGGAATTTTAAACACATACTTTTAGATTAAGTAAAATTCAACTGGAAAAAATCTAAACTAAGTTAACAAGGATGATGATAAGGCTGGCAGAGGGTCAGGCAGTGTTTCTGCTCCACATCAGGTCACAATGCATTGGCACTGACTCTATAGCACCTAACAAACTACAAAATCAAGAAGAGAAATGATTGAGTTTAGATTCTCACACGATCAAGCCTCATGGACGTAACTTTTTTACAAAGTAATCTGAAAACATTATTAAAAAGTCAGGAATGATTACATTCCATTACACAAAGTAACAATGCTTTCAAATCTAAAGATTTATCGTTATAATCCAAAATACAAAATGTCCACATGACCAGTCAGTTAATACCTAATATTGTAGTTGTTAGTTATTGTTGAATAAATGTCAACTCATAGAGATTCCATGTGATGAAGTAGAACTGATCCATAGGGTTTTCTAGGCTGTAATATTTACGAAAGCAGATCATCATGTCTTTCTTTTGCTGGGTGGGTTCGGATCACCTTTCAGTTAGCTGCTGAATGCTTAACTGTTGCTTCACTAAGGATCTTTATTTACATAATAAAAAATAAAATTATAGTAGCTTAGAGACCATAGCTGCTGGAGATATACATGTGCAGATGTTCTACAGAATTAATTGGCCAAATACAGAATGGCATGAATTATATCCTTAAGTACCTAGCTATGGCACACAAATTCTATACCTATAGCTTGTTTGCTTGTTTTTAAAGCAATCCCTTTGCCATTCTTTGAAAGAATATATGGCAACATTTTCCTAAGGACAAAGTTCAGAAGGGTTGGGAAGGATGGTGGAATGGAAGTAAAAACAATAGAGTGCAAATGGACTAACTGTTGTTACATGGAGGGAACTGCAATCATTGAGATGAAACAACATGTATGATTTGTCTAATATAAAACTGATGATCTGCTCTGTAAACCTTCATTCAATTCACAATAAAAAGTGTGGAAAAAAATTATG